TTGGAGGAAACTGATGACATCCGAATCTGTAAAGACACACTCTTGAGATCCACTAAGAGCCTTGACATATTGAATATGGCCCTGTCGTTACTTGAAGAAAAGCTGAATTCCTCCCTGCTAGAGAACACAACTGCATCAATTTCGTACGCTAAAAGAACGAATGAGGAGATGCTGAAACAGGAACTTCTTGAGACAAAAGCCATGGTGAAAGATAAAGACAACAAGCTCAAATCCATACTGAAAGATAGAGACAACAAGATCAAAGAACTGGAAGAAAAGATCACACATATGCAAAATGTGATGCAAAATCACTAACCAACCTCATGGCAGCCCTCATTTTCAACAAATCAACCAACACATGCAAAGAAAGTGCATATCAGGCCTTCAAAGACCCTTCCAAGCATTGAAAGTGATGACGAAAATGATTCAGATGGTGATGAGGATCTAGCAAGTGGTCCAATATTCGGTCCCCTTTTATCCTTCAATGAGATTGACAATGAGGAAGAAGAAGATGACTTAGACCTTGAATACGAACCAAATCAGGGAAGAAAGTTCTTGAATATCATAAAGAATAAGATATACAGGGGCGTCATTAAAGAATTGCGCGTTAACGCTCGTCTTCAAACTTTTGATGATGTCGAAATGGCTTTATTCATCAAATTCACAATCTGCAACGGGATTTTCTATAAGAATTACAATTGTCGAAAAGGTACTAACAAATCCAAAGCAAAATTCTCAGTGACCAAATCATATTGTTGTTGTCAGTGTAATGTGGTTCTAGCAACAGTTCGATATTGCAACTCTCATGGGAAAATACAGATTAAAAAAATGCATGCTGATCACAATTGTACCATGGACGATTTGATCAAAAGACAGAAGAAGCTCATTGTGTCCAAGATCAAGCAGGGAGCAAAAAGAAGGTACAACACCTCCAGGTTAACAGATGGCAAATTCGAAACAATGCTGGCAAAAGAATTCAAAGACGTCGACAGTAAATATCAATCTTTTGGTTCTCATGTACAACTTCTCAAAAGATACAGCATGTTAACAAACAACGTGTTTCATCAAAAGACTGTTCCTCACATTTCACATCTTGTTGGACTCCATAAGTCCCATATGTTTTGCCAGTACACCAGTAAAAGAAATCAACATCTTGCTGCAAAACTAGAAAGAGATCTAGCACTCGATACTATTATTGAAATCCTTGGCTTCAAGGGAGATCGAAGTATCATCGACAACATTAACACTTTGGTCGGTTTCGAGGCAATTGATCAAGACAGACTTATTGAATCACTGAAAAAAACCATCTCTCGTAGAATTCTAACGAAGAGGATTTATCACGGGTCATTCAGTGATCTGGATATAGTGAGCACAGCAATAGCACTCCATAAAGTTGGATGCATCATGGTCGGATTCAATGGAAACAAGATGGCCTTTGAAAATGGCTGGCTTGCTTCTAGTGGAGCTGATTTGACAGAATCACTTGAACGATATCATGCATTGCGTGAAAATGTTAGTGACGATGTGCAAAATCAGGAATATGTCACCTTTGGTGAACGTGGAGTTCCAGTTCCATTGCCCGATGATGAACCATTTGAAGTTGAACCAATCAATTGTGACCATGAAATTGATGATGATTTAGCAACTGAAAGCACACTGAAAAAAATCAATGACGATGATCTGAAAGCTGAACTAATTAATTCCAGAATTGAAATCCTGAACTCAGAGAATGAAATTGACCCCAATATTCTCAAGAGTAATTATGCTGTCAAAAAAGATAAGATGGCATACTATCGTTCTTCCTTGGAAGAAGAAAACTTCCCAGTGCCTCCAGAACTCACCTCAGCCATGAACAAATTTCTAGAGAATAAGAAAGATGATGAAACCTCAGTTGACATGGTGTACTTCCAGAATATTCTCTGTGAAGAACTCAATCTAAAAAAGTCCATTAGAGTGCTGGCTTTGGATGGTACGTGTGTCAAAATCAAGGACGCTCAATCTGAAGATAAATTCTCAACCCTTCTGGTCAGGAATTGCAAATATGGTAATAACAGGACCGTTCCTTGGGCTTTTGCATTGTGTGGTAATGAATGTGCACAGTCGTGGACAAACTTTTTAACAACTTTCAAATCAGCAAATCCATGGTTCATTGAAAGCATAGCCACAAAGAATTGGTCATGTATTACAGACGGTGAAAATGGAATGAGACTTGCCATGAGGCTAGTTTTTCCTGAAGTGACGAATACAACTTGCACTTTCCACTTGGAACAAAACCTTCTAAAGTGCACCAGTCCCAAATACAGGAAAGCAGCTTCAAAATGGCTGAACACAGCAATCCAAAGTCAGCATTCAAGTGTGAGAGAAGAAGCTGTTGCAAAATTGAAAGCCAGATTTGCGACTGATGAGAGGACAAACAAGAATTCAACGTTTCACCTA